ATCCATTGAAGATTGCACAGTGTATAGGTGAAGTTGATTCAACAACACAAATTTTAGCAAAACTGCAACCCAACTGCTTGGATCGAACTGGGGAAGGTGATATTAAGATTCCTCTGAATTTTTCTTGCAAAAATTATAAGAAAACTGATTTCTATCAGTTCTTGAAAGCCTAGGTCGTGATAGGGTTTCTTGGAAGACAAAAGAGAAGAAGAGAGAACAAGAGAGAACAAGAGAGAGTGGTCTTCTAGTCTGGTTCGCCTTCTTCTTCTTTTATCTATGGAATACTCTCCTAATCAAATTAGGAGATTATCCAAACCTAATTTGGATCTAGAATCTATTAAGAGATAAACCTTATTCTCTTAAAAGGATGGGTGCTCCATACCCATTTCCAAACCCAGATTTGATAAACTGTTATGTGACAACTTACTTAATCTTATTAATTATGGGCCTTAGGCCCATTTCCTTCAAAGGCTCATGACCCAAGATGTTGTATGGCCAACTTAGGCCTGATTTGTATGGCGTGAGACTCTACAATGACCTCATATAAGTCCACATGGGTTTGGCCCAGCCTCTATGAAAAGGCTTAACCGAATGTACTACAAGCACAGTGAACCCTTGAGTACATTACTATGGGCTCAATATGTGCCAACATGTACACCTAAATGATCATTGAATTCAACCATCCTATGAAGAACCAAGGATAATGGACTTAAGTAAGATAAAACTCATTAGGTAATTAGTCCTATAATGGTCTCTTATAATTAACCTCTAGGCCCATAATGATCAAACACTTCTCGACAGGGAAGAACTTTTCCCTTAACTACAAGGTACAGTGCCACACTCTTTGTTCGGATGGATTCTGGGAATTAAAACCTTTTGCAAATATTTTTCATAAAAATAATATATATATATATATATATATTGCAAAACCAAATCTCAAACACAGTTGAAATCCACTACTAACAATTTAGATTTCCATTAAAGAGAATGTAAGTCATATCATTCACTTTGTGCAATAAAGGGGCCGATCCTATCACTATGATCACCTACTCAAATGAATTTTATATTGTCCCAATATACCTAGGTTTTGACCATTGATGGATTCCACTAATTGGCATATCAAAGACATCACAATCCAACACCTAGTGCAATATCATAATTAAGTCTAAGGGTTATATGTATATTTCTAGTTTTTCCCATCAATCTCCAAGGTCCAAGGCATAACTAGAAAATGGTTCGGGTTTAGTGTTTTAACAAAACACACACTACATGTACTTCGGGTCTAATCCTATCAGCTGAGACAAGTTACCCTAATTTCTTTGGTAGCACATCAGTGTTATCATTTGTAGGATAAACTCCCCAAGTCTATTCAACGACTGAGAACATTCTAAATTAATACAGGTCTCATAAGTGTCTAGTTTAAAGGGTAATTACATAGAAAAATACCAATATCAACATGAAACAATAGTGCGCTTTTATTCATTTGCAATAAATGCATCTATACAACAATCTGATTGGAGCTAAGGGCATACATTGTCTAACAATTTCAACTAGTAAATGTTGTGTTTCATTTTTCTGTTGGTAGCAGAAATAAGGAAAAATCGGGTATTCCTATCCCCATTTTTTAACCAATTACACTTTGAGCGTTGTTCCCAATACAACTCTTCAATATCATACAATTTTTCTAGTTCAACTCTCAAAGCAATTTCATTAGAGGCCAACGAATAAGATGGAAGTCCATTTTGAATATCTTCAATTTGCTTCTTTAGTTCTAGGATTCTTAAGGGAAATTGGAGGGTTAATTAAAACCACTTCTGAAGGTACAACTTGGAGTTTAAGCACTTTTATTGGAAAGAGCCAGATTGAGATTCCCAAGTAGAGGAGAGAGTATCAAAGTATCCTTCACAATTTGTCCAAATGGCTTCAAATCTCTTAATGGGCTTCACTCTACGATGAAAGCCCACCAAATTGCATAAGATGGGATTGTGGTACTAGTCACTGCCAATTGCAGGGAGGTGTTTAACCATTGTCTTTGGGAACCAATCAAACCAAGAAGAAGAAATTGGTAATCTGTCCAAACGCTCATGAATGAGTAGATGGGCTGATCTTCGATTTGTCCATGTATAAGCAGGGCCATGAAAGCCTAGATCAAGAAGTTGACAATCATTAATGAAAGATTTAAATTCTCTAATAGATCTTCTTGTTACTGCTTGGCCGCTAGATTTTTCATGAATATTAGTAATAGCATTTAGGTCACCAATGAGAGCCCAAGGATGGCTGGAAGAAGCATGGTAATCTCTTATCAACTGCCACAATTTACCTCTCTCATCTCTGTTTGGAAAGCCATAGGCACAAAGTAGATCCCAAGATCCACGATCAGTCTAATCAGTGATGTTAACAATAATAAGGTTCTGTGAAGAATTAGTCACTCGACCTTTGATATGATCAACCCAAAATAAACAAAGCCCCCCTGAAAGACCAGAGGCTACAACATAATGATAGTTGTTCCAGTTCAAAAGTGTCATCACTCTACCAACACCAACAACATCAACTATTGTCTCAGAAATAAAGATTAATATCAGGAGATGTACAACTAAGGAGCTTAGCAAGGTGATGAATTGCATGGGGGGCTCCCCATTCTCTCGCAGTTCTAGGCAAGGATTTTCATGACTCTGTGGGGGCGTGATTGGGTGCGCCTCCACCTGTTGGGAATGCGAGATAATTGGACTGTTCACCATTGAGTCAAGTCCACGAGCCACATGCTTGAATTTTGAGTGTGTACTATTGGAAAATGGGGTTACTAAGACTTGGAGGAGAAGCTTTGAGGTGCGTATGAAGAAGCTGTCTTTAGAACATTATTTGCTCCCACTCAATTTCATTGAGTTTTCTGTTGGGTTACAGATAAATCCGTTCCCAGGATACAACTAAGGCTTGGGCGAGAATCTACAACTAGCAAAGTTGACGAATTTCCAAAGAAACCTTCTTTGGGACAGTAGCAGACCGAGCTGAGAGAGAGGGAGACAAAGTAGTTTTCCGAAGAAACCTTCTTTTTTCATTGTTTTTTATTTTTAATTATTTTGACAAAAATGATAAAATAATGGATAAATTCTGTCTAACGGAACAAAAAAATTTAGATGAAAGACACATTAACTGGGACATGTGTCAATTCCACCTTCCAATTGAAGAGGTTGGCTGACATGGACCCTACAGTCATCCGTCGAATGATTTTGAAACTCCGGTGAGATTTCCGGTGAACTGGAGGGATCTGATTCTTCACCATGAGTTGCACCGGCACCCCTTAAGGGAACTTTTTTACTATCGGTAGACACTCGCAGAGCTGGGGCGACACAAATATCCTTCGTTATTCTATCAATTGCAAGGGCCAAGAGTTTTTCCCTTATCACCGGGTTGGTGTAGTCTTCGATTGCTTTACAAAGTCGATTCTTTGTACGGCAGGTTCCAACTTCATGTGTTATAGTTAATGTGCTAGAAAATTAAATATTTTATATTTATTTTGTCTTTTCTTGCAATAGGTAAAAAGTAACTTTAGTTGAATCTCTTTCTATTTTTTGTAAATCTGGGTTAGTTGAAAAAACATACTTAAAGAAGTTTCTATTTGGTTTGCTCAATAAGCTATTTTTATATGTCTCTAACCAAGAGAGAAACCAGAATATGTATGAAGTGATTTTCAGCCCTTCTCTTGCTCTGTATTTTACTTCAACCTGCTGCATGTAAGTTCTCTGTTTCTTTACTTTGCATGCACCCAACAAAGTGGTATCAGAGCAGAACCAATCACATTGCTCTCAAACATCACTTCATTCGAGATGCCATTGAAGATGGATAAATTGAATTAGTATATTGCAGGACCCAAGAGCAATTAGCTGATATTTTCACCAAGCCATTGGCAAGAAAAAAGTTTGAAGAATTAAGAGAAGCATTAGGAATCCAACAACAACACATTAAGGGGGAGAATGTTACAATTAATGTGCTAGAAAATTAAATATTTTATATTTAGTCTTTTTTTATAGTAGGGAAAAAGTAACTTTAGTTGGATCTCTTTCTACTTTTTGTAAATCTGGGTTAATTGAAAAAGTGTACTTGAAGAAGGTTCTATTTGGCTTGCTTAAGAAAATATTCTTGTAGGACTCTGACCAAGAAAGAAACCAGAATACGTATGATGTGATTTTCAGCCCTTCTCTTGCTTTGTTCTTGCTCTGTATTTTACTTCAACCTGCTGCATATAAATTCTCTGTTTCTCCACTTTGCATGCACCCATAGTAAGCTGAAACTACAGCCAAATCCCAACATCATGTCCAATCCTTGCAGAGAGGATGCAATATCTAGGCAAACGTTCATACGCACACGAGCATACATACTCCATTTGGCTACGTCTTTTGGGTCAGGTTCATAGGGTTTTCCAAGATCTTGATCTCATTCTAGAACTTGATCTCGTTCAAAGCTGCTGGGGAAATCTATACTAAATAGCTCTTTTGCGAAGTCCAAGATCTTTTATGATTCAAGTCTCCATGACTTCGTAATCATCTCTTGAAGACCTGCAACTTTTAGAGGACGGTCTGAAAGGATTTTGAAGAATAGAGTTTTCTGCCAAGTTTTGGGAGGGAGTGCATCTTCGGTGGCTTCAACAGGATTATGAGATCTAGGAACTAAAATACGGGAGAGGTTTCTTAGGAGTTCTTCTTCCATGAGGGAGAAAGATCGACAGGGAATGAAGCGACGGGGAGAGCAAGTGAAGGAGAAACTAGAGAAGAAAGATGAGAGAAAGCCCTACACGAAGGTAGGAGAAAGTCATCTCATAGCTATGTCTATCCATATTTTTCACTGTATCAATGTGCATTGCAATACGTATCCATTTCCAAATTTATCGATATAACATGTGAATTGTGATACAAATATTTTGAACCTTGAGCTCAAGGCAAACGATGAAATTGAGAAATTTACATTGTGCACGCATATTGACCAGTGAGTAGCAAGCACCACAATAGATTGAAGATTTCTATGTTGGCTTTTGAACATTTTCAAGTGAAGTCATCAATTGAATTTTTCCTTATGAGAAACTAATTAAAATATCAGGAGAAAAATAAAAACAAAAACAAAGAATTCCTACCATTAGGTGGGAAAAAGAACTTTATAATGATGTAACCGTAATCCAAAATTTAACGGTTTAACCTCGAGGTAACTAGCATTCAACCCAAGCATACATATCCTACGGCTCTTTCTGTTCTCACATGAACATCAAGCTTGGAAGAATAAATTATAAGCACAAACGGCTGTTTATTCAAGTACACAGCAGTATGTGCTTATTCAAGAAATCGGTTGAATATGCATCCTAGTACCTCTCCAAATTGGTAGACAGATAGCAACAAGGGTAACTCCCCATATTGCATATATGAATTGTCAAGAAACACTCTTTATCAGTGGAGGCAGAAGGTAGGAAAACATGAATCCTACCCATGTTTGAAGATGTATAAGCTCAAAAGCAGTTGGTCCAGAACACAAAGCCTAAGATGTCATGCGTTCATATTCCCCAAACACACATATTTTATCTGCAACCAAACAGTTGAAAACATATTATAAAAATGCCAAGAATTGATATATGGAATATCACTGGCAATGACTTACTTCTAGGTATTCATCCATCCCATACTTGGAACCTTCTCGACCAAGTCCGGACTGTTTTACTCCTCCAAATGGTGCAACCTACATAGAAGGAAACGTGCTTCTTGTTATAACCAATCATAAAACCCACATTTCCTTCTTTGCATTCCTCGGGTAAAGGAAAAAAAAAATAGGGAGTGCTAACCTCTGTAGAGATTATTCCTTCATTAACACCAACCAATCCATATTCAAGAGCTTCGGACACACGCCAAGAACGCTGGACATTTGTTGTGAAAATATAAGCAGCTAGTCCTGCTCATCAAACAATTAAATGTGAGTTTCAGTAGATACTCTTTCTCATTATCACACAACATTAATCAACATCAATATTTCTATTATATATGCAACGAGTATGTAAGTTGTACAATTAGGTGGTTAGAGCTGCAAAGTGGGTTGGGCTGCCCGTGGGCCACACACACACACACACATATATATATATATATTTATTTATTTATTTATTTTCAAATTTATTTACTATATTAATCCAATTTTATTGTAATTTTTCAAATTTATTTTATTATTTCATATATAAACAATTGTATACATCAAAATTCATATGGAATAAAATTTTAATTTTTCAATTTCTTGTTTATCTTGTTAATTTATTTTAATTTTTTCATTATTCTTTTTTCAAATTTTCTAAATGAAATTGTGCCACCCACGGCCTAGCCTGATCTGGCCCAGAACAGGCCCACCTGGGCTCATGCCACAAGGCGTGTTAGCCTTTCCTATTGAGGGTTTTGGGCCAGGCAGGCCCAACTTGCCCAGGCCCATGTGTTGGCAGGGCATAGCACGGCCTGCTACAGTGTGGGCAACCACCCACCCACCCCCACAAATACATTACACCTCTATTTATGGTTAGACGGAAAATATTCTTAATCAGGGTGATGATGGTGACAAGATCACTACAGAGATGATATTTTTAATCAGTCAAACTAATAAAGTTTCTATAAAGATCTCATGCTTGGAACGACATATGCAAAAAGGTCTGGACAATTAACCTGCATTAGTGTCATTGGCCATTCGGATAGCTTCCTCCTCAGTTTTAAAACGCAAAATTGGTGCAACAGGTCCAAAGACTTCCTCCCTGAAAAAGAGTAAAAAAAAAAAAAAAAAAAAAAAAAAAAAGATACAGTAGGTCAATGTTCTGAAAACCATAATTGTATCATCACACACCATAGAGAATGTTGAACCTAATTGAATAATGAACTGTGTCACAAATCGTAAAGATTATTTCTGCTTTTTAGAAATTTCTGAAAAATTAAAAACATTTATACTAAAAATAAAAAATATACAGAAAAATAATTTACACCTTCTATACATAGCTACTATAGGGCTATTACCTAATGATGGTCCCAGCTATCCGTGGTTTTTTTGGGAGGGGCAGATCTAATATGGACCTGACCTTTGGTATTTTCGTCCAAGATTTTACCATTGCACCAAGCAATGGTGGCCCTTTGTATTCCATAGATAAAATCCTCTACAAAAGCCAAAATCCCATGCAAACCCAGTAGAGGGGGTGATAGCAACTTGGGTTCAAGATTAAAGTTGTATGAGGACAAAGCAATTGTAAATAAATCTTTCGAAAGTTCTATTCTGACCTATGAATCTTCCCAGAATTTTGTGTTATTCTAAGAACCAACATCATAAGAAATAAACCTCAAGGAATCGCTCACCATAAGAACAGTGTGCATACAAAAAAACCACGCATACCATTCCACTATATACCTCCACCTATTGTTAATTTGTTACTCAGATAAAGCAAAGACAAAGCTGGTTTACAATATTGGATAAGAAATTTACACTAAAAATTGAAGTATCCAACATGACACAACACCCTTGTACCAGGGATGCAACTCGGGTTGGCCCGAGCTAGTATTTTAAATTGCTTTGAGCTTGGGCAGTTGAACTTTTGACAAAAGTCCAACCTTAGTCAATCCAAGTTGCATCCTACCTTGTACAAGCCTCCATGTTTTTGCACTTTCTGCATACATATAGACACCATAGGGGTGACCAATTCTACTAGAATTAAGAAAAATTACAGACTTTCCACCACAATAATAAAGCACATTAATTTCTAAACTTAAATACAAATCGACTATGCACAGGCAAATCAAACTACAAGGCTGAACCCCATGGGCAACGTAGAAAATGAGCAAAATACTCCTGCTAAAAATATGGTAAAACTCAAAATTTCATAAAGATTCCAAATTTGACTCTCTTATCTGTAACACTAAAATAACAGAATTACATCTAGAAATGTGTAACACACTTATCTATACTACTATTAAAAGCACCAATGAGATTGGAACTTTTGTTTGACTAAAATACCCTTTTGAATCTGTTCCCTCTCTAATTGTGGTTTACGAGAGTAGAAAATGTAATTTAAATTACTTATCACCTTAATTAATTCCCTCTCATTAAGTCTTATATTTATGAATTCCCATCATCTTCCATTGAATCCTATTCTTGACTAAAATGCCCTTATCTTTGAATTTGGCCATTTCTAATTGTAAGGGAAAAAATGTAATTTGAACTACTTTTTACCTACTTCAATTTCCTCAAATTAAATCTTATATTTAAGGTATCAATTCCCATTCTCTCTCATTAAATCCCATATTTAAGCTATCTTTCTCACTAATAAATCCTATCATTTCTTTTGCTTCAAATAAATTCTATCAATTAGATCTATATCCAAATGCTTTTAGTAATATAAAACCCATGTTTAAAATCAACCCAAAAATGACAACGTTCTTTCATCCGGTGGTGAATAATTAATTACCCCATCCAAGTCAAATAGAAATAAATGCAAATATTGCAAAAAAAAATTGTAGAAAAACTGGGCACAACCCTAATATTTTATATTAATCATATAAGGAAAAATATGTATAGTAAACGATAATTGTTTTTATTGATGTTAGAAATGAAACACAATGTAAAACCACCCAAAAATGAAATTGGTTTCCTATTTGGTTGTGGGTCAACACTCAATAGATCAACCTTTTGGGCTTGGATCTGCTACATATGAGTTGTTCCCACATCCCTACCCACGAGTAATTACAACTGCACATTGGGAATATCTCCCTTATCATTCTTGGGGAGATGTTCCCAATACACGGCGGTGGTGTTCCGTGGGTATGGATGTGGAAACAATTTGTGGGTAGAAGATCTGGAGTGCAACCTTTTAGGTCAAATGTGTCAACCCTTGATGTCAGAATTAAATAATAAAGATTAAAAAATATTAAAGCACAAAAAATGAAAAAATATAGAAATTCACTAATATGTTATATTAACCATATTAAATAAAAATAAGTGTGATAAACAACAATTGCTTTTTCTAATGATAGAAATGAAATACAAAACATAAAGGGCAGCTAAGGCTCCTACCAATGTGGGGTTTAGGCGAGGAATAGATGTACACAGCCTTACTCTGAAGCTCCAAAGTCAATTACCCATGGTGAATGGTTAGAACTGGAAACTAAACAAGTTGTACTTGACTTAGAAATGGTAGCAGTGGACTTGGAAGGCCAAGAAGAGGTCTGATGAAGCCTCTCAAATTCCTCACGAGTGATGGAAACCAGCTCATCAGTAGCATCATTCATACTAATGCCATCCTCAACTGTGGCATGATTAGCCCAAGATGGAGGACCATGCAAATCATAACAAAAAGCAACTGTGTCCCTCACGACCACAATGTGTGCACTCTACGACCTCCATAGTTTCTTCCACCACCTCTTCCTTGCTTCCACCACGACCTACACGTCTAAAAGTACCTCTCCCCTTAACAACCCTTCCACCACCATCTCTAGCTACCACTAAGGCAGACTTCTCTTAAGAAGAATGATAATTGTGGGATTGGCATGTCTTACAATTACAAGAAACACCTCGGAAAGGAAGGAAGACCACCACTTCCCAAAACCTGAAATCTCATAGGTTTAAACTCTGATCTCAATCCTGACAAGAATCTTGCGACATCTAAATGTTCCCTTTGAGTCCCGAGTATAGCTATTGGGTATGCTCCGAAATCTTCTTGTCTATGTCCAAAAACATGAGATTAATACTAATGTTGTTTTCCATACTATTCCATAAGGCAGTCATAATCTGAGAATTTTCTTGCACCCATTCATTGTACCCCTCTGATCCATTCTCAGGTAGGGGTGTAAACGGATCAAATTCGAATCCGATTTAAAAATTTGATATCCAAATTCGATTCGATATCCGACGGATATTGGAAATTAATATTCGAATTCGAAATTGACTAATTAATTATTTTAGGTAATTAATAAATATTTTATTTATATAAAGTATATAAATATATAAATTATTTATATAATTTAATTATTATATATAAATTATATAAAACATTTAAAAATTTTATAATATTATATATAAGAATTAAATAATCGATCGAATTCGGATATTTATCGAAACAAATCAGGTCATATCCGAATTCAACCGGTTAGATATTCAAATTATCTGAATTCAATTCGATTATGTCGAATCTTGAATTCGAAATCGGATTTTCGAATACCATTGACACCCCTACTCTCAGGTGGATCTTCCATGACATTTCAACTTCCCTCTAGCAATCAAAGATACTTCCACGGATTTAGCCCATGGTACATAATTAGTACCATAGTACCTTGCTACAATACTTCCACGGATTTAGCCCAAACAACAAGGATTAATAACACTAATCACCAACCACAAGATGGAAAGCACATTACAACAACTTTAATCTCAAATATGGGTACAATAGTATCTTGCTACAATAGTTTGCAACCCTAGAAACCAACAAACAACGGCTTGCACAAGCTTGTAGAGCATCAAAGGAATCTACACACCGTAGGAAGTGAGTTCCCACACCACAACACACCAAACTAATCACCACACATAGTCACAAACTTGTCAAACTCAACACACATACCAAGGATTTAAATATCGACACGATACTCCCGATATGGGGCGTATCGTACCGGTATCGGCCTTTTCCAGCACACGATATGCTACAACTGGAGGTGTATACTGCAAGTCATGGATATCGGGTTGATACAGGCACGTATCGCCTTGTATCGGTGTGTATCGGGTCGAAACGGGCACATATCACCTTGTATCGGTGCGTATTGGTCTAATACCATGCAATATGGACCGATATGTGCAAGCTTGTTTAGTTGTTTATTAAAATTAAAGCAAACACGCGACTCAAACCTAAGTCTCCCAACATACTACATGTTGTAAACCATATATTTATGTTCAACAATTTGAAGGCAAGTCGTAAACCATTAAGGTAACTTAGTTCTTGTGTAAAATATTTGAAATAAAATAACTTTTATTATATATAGCATCTACATACTACATGTAATTTAAATAAATGATATATTTATGTCCAACAATCTTAACTAAAAATTATAAAGAACAATATTCAAAATCGATATTTTATAAACCAATGGAACAAATAATCTATCAAATCTACATTAAAATCAAAAGATGATTTTAATCTCAAGAAATTTATGCAAATAAAATATTAATAATAAAATAATTATTTTAATACTTAAAAAATTAATATATATATATTTAAATTATTAATTAATTAATATTTTAATTTACATTACATTAAATAACAACATATTAAATACTTACAAAAATAAAAAAAAATGTTTAGAAAATATTTGAGAGTATAATATTAAATAGATTCTATCAACTCTACTAATCAACACTTATACCAAAAATGGTTTTTAATTTTAGAAAAAAACTATTAATAACGTAATTAATGTATGCATGTATGTATCTTAGAAATTTTAACAGATTTGATATATTTTAAATTGAAATTATATTTTTTTTTATAAATTATTAAATCATATTTTAGTTTACATTTGAGAATTTAATATTTAGTTGACTTTTTTGTTAATGTAAAAAATTTTAAGTAGTAAATAGAAAATAATTGATATAATATGTGCATATGTTATGTGTCTTGGACTCTTGATTGATGCATTATCCATAAAATTCTATGATATTTATGCATCCTGCTATATTAATTTTAATATATTTTATCATATATACCATTAAAATGTACGTTTCCTTTGTATTTATACATTATTTGTGACTATTTGATTTTAAATTTAGTGTTATTAATAAATTTATGGAATATGTATGTGTTTCCCTAGCGTATCTAAGTGTTTCTATTTTTTTCGTTCGTATCCATGCGTTTCCATAGCATATCCATATCCAAGATGTCCGATACGATACTCGATACCGATACTTTGATCCTTGATACATACCTGTACTTACGTCTAGGGCTGCAGCAAAGAGGAACTTAATACACCATCACAAACAACTTAAACTGACCAACTCAAGGCACTAAAGCCTCGTTTTCTAAGGGACAACCAATCCTTTTCAGTCCCTTTAGCAACTTGTCTTGAAATTATGGAGTTCTCAACTCCTAGGGCACAAAACAGAGGCGTGAACAGTAATCCGCGAGTTCACAGCTCTTATACCATGTTATTGTTTGTAAATAAAGTAGAAAAAAAAAGGGAAAAAGGAAGAAAAAGGTTAGGAAAGCTGTATTGCACAGTAGAAAGTAGGAAGAAGAAGAAAAGTAGGTTTCAAGGAAGGAATACAAAATGTATATTCCTTCCTCTCAACCCGCTCTGTAGCACTGTTCATTAAACATGTGGAAATTACAAAAATGTCCATGTTAAGTGATTCTTAACAGGGGAATACAAGATTACATCAAATGACTAAAATGCCCTTGTGGGCAAACATTTCAATGGAAAATTTATTTTTGGATAGAGTTTTATAGAGAATACCCTCCTTTCCTTCTCTTAGCTGAGAGTTAATTAACTCATTAGCAATAAGAACCCTGTCAACAATCTGCCTCCCTTCCACAAAAGCACCTTAAGAAGATGAAATCATTTTGCCAATCACATCCCTCATTCTTGCCGCCAATATTTTGGATAGAGTTTTATAGACACTGCCTATTAGGCTCATAAGTCTATAATCCTTTAGATCACAGGCATCTTCTTTCTTCAAGACCAAAGTAATAAAGGTGGAATTGAGGCTTCTTTCCAGATCTGGCATTTGAGTGAATCATTTGGCATGCCTATGGGGATTGAGAAGGTTCATTCTGATTTTGAACAAGGAATTGTTTACGAAGTGGGCAATGGGAGCAGAATCAGGTTTTGGGTGGATAGGTCATGTAGGCAGCAACCCCTCATGGAGACATATCCTTGTTTATGGTGGCACAAAACAGAGAAGTTTTGGAAAGAAACTGTTATGCAATTGCTAATGGACAGGTGGTTTGGGACCCAACTTTAAGAAGAGACTAAAACGAATGGAGATAGTTCAATCAATTCCCACGATCTGCCCTCAGCTGGGGGTTCCAGATTGAAGATGGTGGATGTGGGAGAAAAGTGGTGTATTTTCAGTGAAGTCTCTTTACAGGAAACTGAACCAATATGAGTACTTTCATTTCACTGCCTTCAAAATTTGGCACTCTGCTACTCCATCCAAAATTAGGTTCTTTGTTTGGACAGCAGTCTTGGAGAAAGTGTTTGACTCAATAAACTGCAAAGGAGGGAAATGCATTTGGATGGCTTGGAGTATGTCATGTATTATAGGAGAATGAGACAGCAAGGCATCTCTTCCTACACTGCTCCTATAAAACTCAAATATGTTGTATGGTTCTCACAAATTTTGACTGGTTACAGTGCTTCCCATCTTCAGTCTTGGCATTCATGCAGAGTTGGCAGCCTAGAGGCTTGAGGAAGCAGGGGAGAATTGTAGGGGACCTGATTCCTTTGGTTGTGTTTTGGTTGGAGGGAGAGGAATAATAGGATTTTCCTCAATCAAGGAGAGCAGGTGTTGGGGAAGTCAAAGGGTTGTGTACTTGGCTGTCTATCCAAAAGTAGTTTAGATCTTAAGAGTACAGAAGATTTGTTGACAAATCAATTTTGTTTTTATGTTAATATCTTGCTAACAAAAGTTCGTATAGCCACTCATACATCTTGGGTGTTTTAAGGTCCATGGTTACATTACCTTCTCCAAAAAAAAAAAAAAAAGATTGGTGCAATTATTTACCTTGACAGAAGCATTTCTCTGTTGACATTGCTGATCACTGTAGGCTCATAAAATGTCATCCCAAGGCTATGTCTTCTACCACCAAGGACAACTTTTGCACCCTTTTAGATAATAAGGTTACAGGAACAAACTCATTGTATCAGATAATAATATTTTAAGGAAGTTTTCAAAACAAAAAATGTGACTACTATCTCCTCTAATCCCAGATGCAAAAAATAGCTTGAAAGAAAGAAACAATTACGATTTGAACATTGAGCTATACAGAAATTGTTTTATTAGCTGCAATCTTATAAGCAAATAGTGTTTGCACAAAGATGACAATGATATCACAATTTCCAAACTCAACATCTCATAGTATGGCTTTATGAGTAATGATTCTAACGATGCATAGAAGCAAAAGTTCAAAATGTTAAACACGATATTTTGAGGAACAAAATCATCATATGACATAAATAACATTTTAAGGAAATTTTCAAAACAAAAACGTGACTACTATATCCTCTAATTTCAGATTCAAATAATAGCTTGCAAGAAAGAAACAAGTACAATTTTAACATTGAGCTATACATCAGTCTTTTTATTAGCGGCAACCTTATAACCAAATAGTGTTTGCGCGAAGATGACAATGATATCACAATTTTCAAAGTCAAATATCATGGTATGGCTTTATGAGTAATGATCCTAAAGCTACGCATAAGCAAAAGTTCAAAATATTGACAATGATACACCTGATACAGGGTGTATGTGTATCGCATTGGTATCTGAAGGCATGGGTATGTGGTATCGGTGGAACAGCATGATGCTGTTAAGGACCTATAACAGTGGTCATGACCACGGCTAAAAGTCCAAAAATTATAAAACATAATTTTTACATGTTATAAACGATTTCATTGCAGGAAAGAACTATAGTATGGATCCATCAATAATCTATTAAACTCATTGGTCTAAGAATGAGTTATGTCAAAAGTGAATTTTTTTTCCTTAATTTTTAGGAAAAAATTAGAAAAATAGTTTATTTTATATATTTTAATGATTTTCATAGAAAGAGAGAACTATAAGACGGATCTATCAAATACATTGACCTAACAACAATTTCACATGCCCTGTAATGAATTTTTAGTAGAATGGAAGTTCAAACATTGTTTGATATATTATTAAAATGTACATCTCTTATGTGTTCATACCTTATTCATTGTTATTAAATGTACATCTCTTATCTATCCATGGCTTTCCACCATATCCATGTTTATCCAAAGGGTATCCATATCGAAGCTTCCCAATATGATATGTGATGCCAATATTTTGGACCTTGCAAAGAAGTTAAAGATTACCTAGGACGGGCTTTCGATATAAAGGCCTTACTTTGTCTCAAATATTTTGCCAAAAAGAAAATGATATCCAGACTTTATAAGTGCATTTACCCGATAAATACATATTTTTTAAGGCTTAATGTGCTTTAAGGAATGAAGCTAAGTTGATGGTGCCCACTAGGCAGTTTGTTAAATGTTGAATCTAGGTATTAAACCTGATGAAGATGTTAGCCAATAATATATAAACCATCTGATAAGGACAATGCATTTTCTGAAAATTTTATTGCCTTAACCAAACATTGACATTATCATAGCCTTGCTGACATCATATCCAGACAAACAAGCTCAAGGCACCTATTCCATATACTTTAGTACATCTACTTCCTTGTATGATTTATATTAACTTACCTATTCTATGAACAAAATAAGTTTAGCAATATATCACAATCACGTATTAAATGAAACAATTGCACCTATACAGCACAGAAAGTGCCAACATGTCTTGTGACATAAAGACATGCTAATCACAAAACATAGCAATATATCACACATTAAATGAAACAGTTTGCATATATACTCCTGAAGATGAAATTAAGTCGATATTTGCTTCATTCTTTTTTCATTGTTTATCTGATACAAAATCCGAATAAAGTAGGACATACTCATGTAATAAGAGTAAAAAGATGACCCATGGATACCAAAACAGCCATGGAAACTCAAGGACAGTTTTTTAATTGATTGGGAATTTTGAAATCTAAGATGGCTACATACTTAGGTACTGAAATAATTTACTCACTTAGCCACCCTTTATTTAGTCATAAATCAGCTAGAGCATTAGCCAATCCTCTCATCCATGTTTAGGCGATTGTCAAATCTCTTTGTAGTTGCCTGATTTCCCTCATCACATTTCTGTATTGCCAATCATACTCACTGATCTTTCTCAGCCAGCTACTACCTGTAAGGCCATGGACTGGATGATCTATACCCTGAAATACAAGGAGTTGGTTGATGGTTTCAGTAGAGGAAGGGGAGGAAAATGGGGCAAAGAGAGGTGGCCAGACCCTCAGAGGGACTGCCTACATACCCTCCAGCGAGGGATTGGGCCCATGTAGTTTTACAGAGATGGAATTCTGACAATTGAAGATGGATGGCATTGTTAGCTGCAGAGGGAACGAGAGAGAGAGAGAGAGAGAGAGGAAATGGACCAGTAGGGGAATAGTGGCTCAAGAAGTTCCAAAGAAGTGCTCCCAGATGGGCATGGAGACCCCTATTTATAGAGTTTGGATGGGTGGAATCTGGAAAATTCTCATTCCAGATCTTTCTTATTTTTATCTTTTCTAAATTTACCCTTTAATCTAGAATGTTCTTTATTTACTCATTTAATGCATATGTTTAATTACCTTTCTATGATGTTCACGGCTTAGCTGGATGCTTTGCTCTTCTAGAATATTCCAATATTTAATTAGAACACATGCTGATTTATTAATGTTATAGGATGTCCAGCACTTTAGGCCTTTAGCTAGTTTACCTTAAAGTGGACCGGTCTAACCTGGATTCAGCCCAAGTCAGCTGGGTCTACATACTTATGCAATGCCACCATCTAACACTATCACTTTGGAGCCTTTGTCCAAAATTAAGCTTCTAATGTCAACTTTGAAGTGGCTGACTTAACCTCAATCCTCATAAAACTGCTAACACTTCTGCTCTAGTTCTGTGACTTCAGTCTCCAATGCAGGACCTAAAAATATGGCTATTATCAAGTCATGACTGTCTCTAAATGCACCACAAAAGCCAGGTAGCCTGAATTATCTATGCTGCACCCGTCAATGTTCAATTTAATCTAGTTGAACCATGGAGGACTCTACTGCATAAGAAGAGAGATTCTAATTGCAGATGACTGTTGTACATGTTGCCATCTCTAAGTCTAGCATCTTTGGAGCAAGGGGCAAGGCTTCTAGTGTCTTGATCCAATTATCCAATGCACAACTTTGATTAGGATGCCCTACAAGATAGCTTCATGGACAGTTTCCCCCCCTCGTTAAGAATTCTGTTCTCACTTTGCTAAACTGTCCCACAACACCTTTGCCCTTACATCTCCACATTACCTATCCCCTCTTCCTTTGCATTGTGAGAAAGGATGGTTTGAATAGACTTCCTAGATAATCCGGTGGCACCCACCTGCAACCAAACAAAGAGAAGATCCTTTCCCAAATACAAAAAATCCAAAAAGGAGATTAGTAGGTGGTAGCTGCTTTCTCCACTTGCATTAAATAGAAAACAAATGATAGGAGGCAGTAGGTCTTCTCTTTTGGAGAGTTTCACACATGCCAATCTTAAAAAGAAATACCTCCCAACAAAAGGCTCTAATTTTGGGTGAAACTGGTCCACTCCAAATTTCTTTGACAGGGAAAGCCTACAAGAGATTTGAGGAGGAAGAAATGGATTTTAAAGAAGGACAAGTGAAAGCACCAAAAAGATTTCAGAGTCCAGATTCTGTCCCCTAGTTTGGAAATGTCCAAGAAAACCCCATAATGAAGATGAATCAAATTTAAGACCTCCAAGGTTTCGAGGTCTCCAAACCCTCTCCTAAGCTCAAAATTCCAGTCTAGATTGTTATTGGAAAAGGAAACAGAATAAAATGGCTTTAGCTTTATAAGTGGGCTAGGAAAAGCAAATGGTCCTTCAATGCTATTCTCCCATCAAATGCCTTCCTAGGATTTGGTTCTGTTGCTGGAGAAACGTCATACCTAACAAATCATAGTAAAGTCGGAAGAATGCTAGGGATGACATTCCAAGTGGAGGGCAAAGATGCATGATTTATTATTCGTACATAAATCAATTAGCCAATATCCCACGAATACTGCTCACTGCATTGTGCCACTATTTATCCATGCCCATTAGAAATCTCCTTAACCATTTCATGAGAAAGACAAGATTCCTTTTTGCTCCTTTTTAGTGTCCCTTGGTTTCCATAAGGAATATTCAATAATCTTTTCCACTCTCCTCGTCACCATGACAGGAATGACTTGCTTCTTTGTAATATTAATATCCCATAAAATTCAATGGCACTTACTAATACTTGAAATCTTTCATCAGTAAATGCAAACATGAAAACTACTAGGATTGCAACCTATGGAAGCAATAAACCTTGAAAATAGAAGAATCTATGCAGTATCGAAAATACATGAAATATAACGAGGATGTACTATTTAAGAAGAAACCAGCATTTAGGAAAATAACAGTGAGATAAGATAGAACATCATTTTGTAACACAGTACAAATGGATCACTTAGAGGGTGTTCTACAACATGGATGTTTTTGAAGTCACCACATTAGCAAAAAAGAAAATAAAAAGCAAAAAGCATGTTCTTGAACCCAGTTTTTGTTTGAAAGGTAAAACTGTTGTAGTGTAGTTTGCTTTATCATTATGCTGAGTTTTTCCTGTTTCTTATGTTATTCTTAGTATGAGGGGAATTTATGTCTTTTTCCTCTGTAGTACACCCTATTATAAGTAATAAGAGAGGCTTCTGCCAGACACTATTGACAGCTCCAAATACTTGTCTCTTTCTCTTCTTCCTTTCTTCTCTTTTTCCAAGGAATCTAACACTGAAAACATGGTATCAGAGCACTAGATCTGATTAAAGGACTTCTACTGTGCACTTTCATCCTTGTTTGGTTTTCTTCATCATATAAGGAGGAACAACAGAATACCGATCGAAGTAACTCTCTTTCCTTTTCACTCTATTCTTTGTCCTTGGTTGTAGATGTGAATCAGTCCTCTAATATCAAGA